GAGAGAGAGAGAGAGAGAGAGAGAGAGAGAGAGAGAGAGAGAGAGCAGTAATCAAACACAGATGATATTATCTGTTCTCTTTACCACCTAATTTAATGTTCCTTGCTGGTTGAGTTTGTGTTATCGTCGGGAGTTTCTGATTAAGGAATGGCGTACTCAGATGAGGACTTTTGATGATGTATCTGGCCACAGTGACACCCAGATTTAGACAATATAATTGTATTGTGGGAAGTCAGTGTGTGGTTGAAAATCAGTAATCGCCCTACGGATGGCCTGATCTGTTTTCCATATTGGTTCATTGAATGTATGATGTGTGACAACTGGGAGCTTCCGAAAAAGGACATGTCCTCACACAAGGAGTTTTCGAGACTGTGTCTGGCCATAATGACGCCTAGGTTCACGGGAAAAAGTCCTACCATCTTCACCTGAATAGAATGCCCCGTCATTATCGATGCATCTGGACTGAAAGTTGCCCGAAATACTGCAATAATGACCGGGTGTTCTATTCGGGTGACGACGGTAGTGAAGGACTGGATGCTTCATTAGCTCTTCTGGATTGCAATCCTGTTCTGTCATGCTGATTTTGGAGGATGTATCTTGCCCCAATGACTGCCAGATTCAGTCAAAACAAGTCCTAGTTGAGCACTTCTTACTGGAGTAGCTCTTTCAGATTTGCAATCCCTCAAACCGCACTCAATTAAATAGTGTCGAAATCTTCCTCCAAAATCCCAGATTAGGTGGGGCCTGACGGGTGGCCGCACTTTTAACTGAGTGGGGGGACAGAGCAGTTCAGAGGTCCCTGTTAACCGCCCCCGACGGGCGGCCCCACTTTTAACTGAGTGGGGGTAGGATTATGATGAAGGTGAAGGATTGGTGCTGGAGTTAGGGTTTGTTCTTGCTACAGGATCTCTTGCGAAGTACAAGAATTTAATCATTTTAATTCAAGAAAGAATGATTTTTATCATTTTTTCATTAATTATGTTTTTGGCTGCCTTTACTGGAAAGTGCATTGTCTGCATTGTTTTGTCCTCTTATTTGGCTTTTTTTTTTTTTTTTTTTTTTTTTTTCAGATGTGTGTTTTTGGTTTTGAACCTTGGGGAAGTTGTGGTTGATTTATTATGATAATGTGTTTGTGTGTCTGTGGGTACAGCCCAGTTCATGGACTGATTGCGTGTGCCGGGGAGGACGGCGCGCTGGAATGCTTCGACTTGAGGCAGAAATCGTCGGTGGCCAGACTTGCCGCTTGTGCTACGGCAGGATTTGGCACGCAGGTAAAATCAAATGTTAGCACATTGTTTTTTTTCTTACTTTTCTTTTTCTTGCGATTGCAAGACGTAGAGAACGCGGGAATCCTTAGGGACATAGAAGATTAAAATCCATCTGCTGGAACGATGGCATGCACAGATCGAGAAATGGTCGAAATAATGACGAGAAAACAAAAAAGAAGAGGAAGCTAAGTTAAAAAAACATACCGAAGAAGGGAAAAAAATGCAGAGTGGGAGTAGGAGGGGATCTGGGAGAACAGGCAACAGGGAGGGGATAGGATTGGAACTGGGGGGATAGGATTGGAACTGGGACTCTGGAACTGGTAATGAGTCTGGTAATGGGACTGGTAATGGGACTGGTAATGGGACTGGTAATCGGACCGAGGAGTCAGACTGTAATGGGAGCGGTGTGGGGTAATCAGACCGTGATTGCAGATTAGGACTGGTCATAGGGATGGAGAAAATGGTGTTAGGAGTGGAAAGGGAGGGCGGGAATGACTGGATGGGGGGAATCGGGGTGGTGAATGGGGGGCGGGGGCGGTGAGGGAAGGGGTGGTGATAAACGGGGCAGGAGTACCTGGAGGTATCTGACTGCTGAGAATGTATGCAGGAGCCTAACTGAAAGATAGAAGAGGGAGGCATACGATTGGGAACAGGGTTGTGAATGGGAGTGGGACAGGGAATGGGACTTGGAATGGGACTGAGACCAGGAATGGGAATGGGAGTAGGAGTAAGGATGGGAATAGGAAGGACTGCGAAGCTCGGGCCTTCCCACCATAAGGGGGAGGAGCATGTGTGAGTGCTCATTGCAACTTTTGACTTGCCGGTGGAATAGAGGAAAAACCGGACTGATTGACGCTCCCCAGAATCGAAAAGGAGTCAGAACCGTAAGGTTCTGTTTGTTTGGGGAAAATAAAAAGAAAAAAGAAGAAGAAGAAGGAAAAAAAAAGAGAAAGGACTGGGAAGTGGACTCCCGTCTTTTTTCAGACACAATCCACCCTTATAATGAACGTATAAGACCTGTGTTTTTGACTCGATTCAGTCATGATGAGGGCATGTTGTGTGCGGAGGAACATTGGTAATGGCAATGGATATGGAAAGCGGAAAGGCGAGGAAAATAAACACAAGGAGTGAAAATGGGACCGGGGTTGGGAATGGATATAATCGTGGTGATTGGGACTCGAGCCAAAAACTTGAAGTCGGGGAGGAAATGTCAGGAGAAGGGGCTCGGGACTGGAAATGGGGTATAATTGCAGGGAGTGGAACTCGGGCAGAAAAGTTAAGCTGGGGAGGGGGGTGGGGGGGAAGGGGTGGAAGGGGGGATGGGCGGACGGGGCGGAGGGGTGRGAAAGGGGTGTGTGGCTAGGAAGATTCTCACGCCCGGCTTGTCCTTTGCTGGATTTATCTGAACACAGTTACGACGAGGCGTGAGCCCTGGTAATTGGTATGGGTCCAAGACCTGATCAAAGGAAAACTAGGGAGTCTAAGGGAAAAACAAATCCAAAATTGAAGACCATGGAGGCTGATAGGTCCAAAGGTGTGTGTGTGTTGAAACGGTTTTCACCTTTGCAGTAGCAGACGCAGATCCCAGGGCTGGATCCCTAGACCTTGCCCTCACCCGTGTACAGTACCATGAGAGAGAGAGAGTGCTGTGTGTGTGTATTTCGTGTGTGTGTGTGTGTTTCGTGTGTGTGTGTGTGTTTCGTGTGTGTGTGTTTGTGTGTGTGTGTGTGTGTGCGTGTGTGTGTGTGT